CGACCGGCGCGCGCTGCTCAAGCTGCTCCTCAGCGTCCTCAGCAAGGACGAGCGGCTGTGTCTGCTCATGTGCTGCGCCGGCGCCGTCAAGACCAGCCGTCGCAGAGGCGGCAGCAAAGCCTAGCGCAGCGTAGCGCGGCGGACGGACGGGTGACAAGAGTGGTGTGACGGCCCGCACGGCACGGAGTGACTGTTGAAGAGTGGGGTGACGATCGGTGCGAGTGACGGATGAGTGATGGCCGGCGCGTGTGACTGTGAGGAAGATGTGAAGTGACGGCCGGTGCGGTGCGAGTGACAGTACGCTGGAGTGACGGTCGGTGCGAGTGACAGCGGGCGAGAGCTCCAGCAGCGCGGGGCGCATCGTGCATCTCGTCCCGAGGAGGTGGCTGCCACGACGCACGCCCCCTGCCGTCACGACTCTGAGGACGATCGGGGAATTCCACGGGGCATGATTCCACAGGTGAGCATCATCTCCAGGGAGACGCAAACAATTTCCCTCGCCTACGCTGTCATTTTCTCCCGCTGCTGAAAAAGAGGGAAACAATATTTATGGGTGTCGTCCTCGTTCTCGTGTCCCTCGCAATATCTCTGTCTACTGTCCCTCTCTCCCCCTTCCTTCCGAAAAAAAATAAAATCGGGGGCAGTTTGGTCGTAATATCCTGGGTAGCGGCCGCCGAGCTGTTTAAGATGTCATCTGGCGCTGCGCTGCGCTGCGGCTGCGCGGCGCGCTGCGCTGTGGTGACACTTAGGCCCTACCGCGATCACTATTACACGACCTGCTGACAGAAGTATTGCACCCGAGTGGGTGGCCCCCCTCCCCCTCCCGCCTGCCCCCGCCTTTGTACAAGGGTCCGTCGCGACGCGAGACCGGCACAACTAAAAATGACAGTTTTAAATTTGCCAACCTTGCCAAACTTATGCAAGACGGAGGAGGGGACAAACGAGAAGACCAACACTTGCGGGAGAAAACGTGCCGATCGGAGGCTGGGCCGTCGAGCCGATATATCGTAACTCGTCGGTCTTGTATTTTCGGCGTTAGTTCCGATATCGCGTGGATGTCGTATTTTACGCTGGGTGGGTCGTTGTGGCCCCACGGTTGACGGGTTGAGCCACTACACAATTCTTGGCTTTTGTGTCAACCAGTTTAGTTACAATAGTTGTTCTCCTCTGGAGGGCGCCGCCAAGCATGCCGTCGAGATTCTTCGGATTCTGCGTTGGTTAACCTTTTGCGACGAGGTGGGAAGGGGGAGGGTAGTGGACGGACGCTCGCTCAGTGTGCGTTATGCGACAGGGTCGCGCATTGCCCTTGAGTGCGCCAGCGCGAAAAGGAAGGGGGGGGGGGGAGACGATGACGCCGACGTGGGCAGCATCCTTCTTGCCTTAGCAGGAGTGCTCTGCGGCCGTTGCCGGTTCAGCAGATATCGCCTATTTGTGTAAAATAAACGATAGAATTCACGCCCAGAAAATTCCTTGATTCCTCAAATTGAGGAGAATTTTTCCTTACAGAAAGGCAAAGAATTCTTTGTTTCGTTAATTCAAGGCCAATTTCAAGGAAATTCCCTAGTTTCAAGGAAACGATTTTCTGTATGCATTTAAAACAAACTTACTTGAGCACCCGTGTGCGACTGGCTAAAAGTAAAGATAAAAAACCTCAGACGGCCAGCTTCATAAAACTTAGTAGCTTTACCTTCGATCAAAGGTTTTCTTTTTAAATGTATTTTTTAAGCCCAGCGGGGCGTTCGCCCCCGGCCGCGTTTGCTACCTGATTCTGATTCGGCCCGTCCTTGTGGCCTGTGGGAGAAAGCGGATCCCCGCATGGCACAGGTTCTGCTGCAGGCCGCCGACCCGTGCCGGCCCGGGCTCGGGACCTGGACAGGTCCTACTGTACAGGCACAGGACCTGCATCATCAGACCCGTGATCGCTGATGTGGACACGAGCAGGGGAAAACTGGCGCGCTTTCGAGTTATCGTGTTCGCCCCCGCTGCTGAGCTGTACATCAAACCATACGGGCGTCCGTACACGCAGAGAGGGTGCACAGAGCACACACATCACTTGTCGTCCTAGAGCATACTGTACCGCTCCAGAAGCAGAGTGACAAGAGAGGTTTTGGTTCCGAAACAAAGTTAGTTGGTACCGCGGTACCGCCTGGTGCATAGGCAAACTGGCTGCACTCCTCCTGGGCGGGTGGCCTATCCCACGACCTGCAGGGGCCCAACTGGTCTGGTCAGGTGTGAGTGACAGACACCAGACAGACAGACAGACAGACAGACAGACAGACAGACAGAGATGATAGAACTGTTGGGGGAATGACCCGGGCCGGCACAGCTGACTGGACTGGACGGGCTTTGCCCGGCTGCTCTCCCGCACGGCGGGAGGCGCGCAGTAAGCCGGGCGTCTCTTCGCCCCCCCCCCTCTCCC